CCCCCTCATTCACAATGATATGATTTTTTTGTTCTTTGATGCCTGATAACTGATCCCTTCGGTACCTCATGATCACACAGGCTTGTGTGCTTCTTCCTTGTGGGCTTCGTTGTTTCTGAGCTAGATGGCCACTTGTTTGCCTTCAAGAATATTGCTGGGACTGTAGAGAATAGCACACATTCAAAGCAATGCTATCAGCCACTATCTTTGAGCAGGACACCACTGTTTCTAACTCTGCTGGTCAAGTGATTTGGTTGCTGTGCAACATGCAAGCTGTTCCTTGTTTTCTAAGATGGAGATCAAGTTTTTGGTAAAGAATTCACCTGTAATTTTTCAGTTCTTGTGCCAGGTCATTCACTTTTGTAAATGTGGGTCCATTCGGGGCTTGCTTAGTGGGCCAGGCAGACCAGTTTGAACCTTTGTTTAAGAACCAATTTGAGGTGTTCCATGAATTTATTCTTTCCTAAAACATTATTTTTGAAGTAGAGATTTAAAAATTTAAAGTATATTTTATAGTATTATATGTCATTTCTGTTTCTGAAAGTATTATTATTAATCATTATTATCAATAATGATGAATGCGATTGTCTTTAGAAATCATTATTGATGCTCCTTTTATTTCCAATTTGATAGAGAGTTTTTTGGTGATAAAAGTTTTAAAAGCCAAGTGAATAATTTTGGAAAATGGAAGTACTGTGCTCATGTTATCAGTCATAATAATTGCAGATGTCTGGTTTTCAATCATACTTTAATTCTCCAGAGTATGGACATTAACAGAAGACTCCACTAAGATATAAGTCCCACTCTTGCCATTCCACCCTGCCTGCCTTTGGTCTCCTTTGTCTTCATTTGAATCTGAAGGAAAATATAATAAGTATCTGAGTCTTTTCTCTTTCCATTCTGGTGTCCCGACCAAAACTGACAAGGCTGCCATCTGGATGACTATATTTGTAGTGTGGGCACCTGTTGTCTATGAATGGAATTGGAACCACAAGCTTGTGCCATTTAATATGCCTGTCACAATTAGCATTATCAGATCCAACTGCTACAGGCAATAAAAATAAAGTCTCTCATGGCTATAATTTAGTGGCAGTTCATGTTGAATATGTAAGTTGAGTGATAGAGCAACACTACCATAGGTTAGTAGGGGCTTCCTAGTTCTGATTTTTCCTTTATAATGCCAGGGGGAACAATGAAAGTTTCTGTACACATGATTTAATAAGCAGCCAAGCCACTTCAAACAAAACAGTGGTACCTTTTGTGAAGGTGAAACAATCTGATGAAAGAGAAACAATATTCCAACAGTGATATGACTATGCATAAAAGTTACGAATGTTGGATTCCTTGTGTTACGGGCTCTATCTGTAGCAGCCTGCAAGCTCTGGTCTAATCCCATTTGTAAGGTAGAATTGTGGTCATGATAGTGGGGTGAAGGAAGCAGCAAAGAACTAGAGGAAAGTTGTGTGTTTCATTGGTGTAATACTGCACCCTGACTGGTTCATCTTTTCCCTGTGACCCCTCTGTCTGCAGATGGGCATTGGATCTCCACTCCATGCCCTCTCCCCAGGATAGATAAACCCCTTAGGGCCAACAAGGAGACTATAGGTACCAGGAGGATTAGGGGAGGGTGGTGGGAGAAAGGGGGACTCAATCACAAGGATCAATCTAGAACCCCCTCCCAGGGGGATGAATAACAAAAGTGGGTGAGGGGCTATGTAGAATGATGTAAGATATGGAATTAACAATCTATAACTTATAAAGGGTTCGTGAAGGAGGGGAAAGAAATGGGGGAGCTGATATCAGGGGCTCAAGTGGGAAGAGAATGCTTTGAAAATGATGATGGCGGCATATGTGCAAATGTGTTTGTCACACTGGATGAATGTATGGATTGTGATAAGAGATGTAAGAGCCCCAATGAAAGTATTTTTTAAAGTTACAATTGTTACATTTAAGTTGTTACAATTTGGTATGATGATTTCCAGCTTTGATTTGAATTTACTCCAAAAGTATTGAAAAGCAGAATTAAGTTTAATTCATCTAAATTTTTTAACAATGCCAATCACATAGCATGAAATCCAAAACGTTAAAGAACCAATGCTTGGGTAATGCAGTCCTAAAAGAAACAAACTCTGCCATTGATTCTAACCCAGGGCAGCCATATAGGACACAGTAGAACTGCCCCCATGGGTTTCTGAGACTACCTCTTTTACGGGAGTAGAAAACCTCATCTGTCTCCCAAAGAGTGACCAGTGGTTTCAAACTGCTGACCTTGTGGCTAGCAGCCCATTGAGTAAGCCACTATGATACGAGGTTGTTATTTCATTCCCTAAGAAGCTATGATGGCACTGTGGATTATGTGTGGGATGAAAACTGCATGGTCGGTGGTTAAACCCACCAGCCCCTTCCCAGGAGAAAGACAGAGCTGCTTGTTTCTGTAAAGCCTCCAACCCTGTATAGGGACACTTTGCGTCACAGTCAACTCGGTGGCAGTGGGTTTTGGGTCATCCAATCTCTAAAACATTCAATGAAATTTGATATTGTACACATGGAAAGTGAATATTGGTCAATATGTAGTGTTTTTCTGTGCATTTCGTATCTTAACATATGTATTTATATCTAACCACTTCCAGCACACATTTCCCAGATTTTTCTCTCTTTCCACTGGATCTCAGCCTTGCTCTATCCAGTAACCAATTTAACATGGCCCTAATAGCTCCTGGTCGTCTCACACTCAGCATGTCCGAATGGAATTTTTGATCCCCTACTATCCCTATATCATTCTAAGAACTTGGGTAGCATCCTTGATCTCTCACCTCCCACACTTGATCCGTTGCCAAATTCTGTTCAGAGGATCCTCATCGCTGCCACCATGTCTCCAAGACCTCAGGAGCCTCCCCGAGCCTCCCCGTTGGTCTCCTGGCTTCTTCTCTTGTCCACTTAAGGCCCTTCTCTACACTGAAATCAGAACCAGCCTTTTTAAACTTAGCTCATTGTTATTCCCTTGTCTGCAACCTGCAATGACTTCAGTTCCATTTAAAATCTTGGGACAAGCCCCAAACCAGGTTTCCTGTGTTCAAGAACAGTCCTCAGGAGCTTGACCCTGGCAGCTTTTGCTAAACTAGTGCCTTCCTCTCTCCTTATTCATAAACCCCTGTTTTATTCTTTTTTTCCCTGAAAAGACCATTTTATTTGTTTGTTTAAGATGTTGGGCTTCACTGATTAAGCACTTGGCTACTAACCGAAAGGTCAGCAGTTCCAACTCCCCAGTGGATCTGTGGAAGAAAAGACCTGGAGGGATGCTCCCATAAAGATTATATCCCAGGAAACCCTCTGGGGCAGTTCTGCAATGACCTTAGGGTCACTGTGAGTTGGAATCAACTCAAAGGCATACAATAACAATGACTTGTTGTGTTAGGCCAGTTGACTAGAGAAACAAATCCAGAGACACTCGTATAAGTGTAAGAAAGAGCTTTCTATCAAGAAGTAATTGTATATATCAAGAATGCATCCCATCCCAGTCCAACTCAAGTCCATAAATCTGATACCAGTCCATAATTCCCTCTTCAGACTCACACAGTCACATGCAATGATACAGTATGCAGGAAGATCACAGGCAGGTGGGTGCAAAGTCATGTGGATCCAATCGTGGTGGCTCTGGCCAAAATCAAGGTCTGCCAGCAGGAAGGTGAAGGCTGAGAGACGGGGGGGAGGTTTCCAGGACCTTCCTTATGAGAAGGCTATGCCCACAAGAAGTCACCATCAGGCTTTGACCTGATTGACAGGTTGAAGACCACCTCTACACTTTTATATATCTTCAAGTCGACATGAGATGATGTGACTACCACACTTGGTTTCCTGTTTCCTGCTTTTCTCCCCCGGTGAGTGGGAATATCAGGAAATGGGGGCTTCCCAGCCATGTGCCTTACTGTTTCTCCAGCACCTATAATAGTCCCTGGCATGTAGTAGACTTTCAGGAAATATGTTCTGACAGACAGAATGGTGTTGGCTTTATTTCTTTTTATAAGACCTATCTAAAAAAAAAGACCTATCTGTGACATTTTTTAGACTTTATATTATTAACCAGACTTAGCATAAATAATAATGGCCTTCTCTAAATTGGCATTTGTCTGTTTTATCATTTTACCAATAGATGGTGTCAGCCATACCCCAGGTAAAGACAGTCATGAGGAGGATGGTTCTCAGAAAGGCACCTCCAAAGAAGTTGGCACTGACCCTCACTGTGACAAAGAAGTCCTTGCCCAGTCAGCACCTGACCCACTGCCTGAGAACAAGGAAGAGCCAGCAGAAATGGAAGGGAGAGATGGACACACACCCCAGCCAGGTCCTGGTGAGTCTTGTTTCCGTTTCCACAGCTTCCAAAGGATGACCATGTACTTTAACACTTCGTACTTCCATGACAATTGACTCTACTGCCTTTCTGCAGCTTTCCTTTATTCCCTTTTATAATAAAAATGTCAAGCCTTTGTAACCACATGCTTAAACCACCAGCTGGCTGGGAAGAGCAGTGTGTGTGTGTTGCCATTCAGAAATAACACACGGAGAGAAACAATAAATAGCTGCATGTGATGCCAACCAATCCTTGCCAGTACCCACAGGGAGGGTGCTGTTTCATATTTCGGAGGTCCTGTTGGATAACATAATAAGTGTGATGGATCCTTGACAGACACTTGTTAGCTACCATCTTGCTGACTCTGATTTGTAGCAGACTCATGTACAACAAAGAGATATAGCCCGGAGATCCCTCATCCTTTCCATCGTCAGTACCTTCGCATCGATCCATGCAGCTGTTCTGCCATGCCATCCTGCCCTCCCTTTCCCTTCTGCTCCACCAAATATAATGTCCTCCTCTAGCAATAAACCCCCCACCCCCCATAATATGCCTATACCAAGTGAGTCAGACAGTTGTGATCCATAAGGTTTTTTGGTTTTGTTTTGTTTTTAATCATTTTATTAGGGGCTCATGCAACTCTTATCACAATCCATACATACATCAGTTGTGTAAAGCGCATTTGCACATTCATTGCTCTCATCATTCTCAAAACATTTCCTCTCCACTTAAGCCCCTGGCATTAGGTCCTCATTTTTCCCCTCCATCCCCACTCCCCCCTCCCTCATGAGCCCTTGATAATTTATAAAGTGTTATTTTGTCATATCTTGCC